TTGGGCTACACATGACTTAGTACATTCTTAGGGCCAATCAAGTTACTTAAATACATTATTAGCACTAAACATGATTACCTTAATTAATCCTCATTAATGTTAATTAATCTTAATTAACATTAAGCTAATCATGATTTTCTTAAGCTAATCTCGATTAATTAGCTTAAACATGATTAAGTTAATTAAGCACGGCTAATGACCATTACTTAATTAACAATGGACGGTGTACCAATGTGGATACGCCACAGTATAGGTAAACCTAACTTGACGTGAAGAACTTTAACTGGATTAACTATCGGAATATTATTCCGAACATGAAGCTGATATTCGAAAGTTAATTCGAATATTCTTGACTTAGACGATTAATCTGAACATTAATATTTCGAATAGTTCGTCAACTTGGCTTATTAATTCCAGACTCATTAACTAAGTAAATGAATCGGAATTAAATCTGAAAACTTATTCGGTTATCAACCGAATAACATATCGACTAATAGTCGAACTTAGAATCTGATTGACTGATTTGCTTGAACTTGAACATGAACATAACTATTTATTAACAAAGGCTAGCTTAATAATAAAAGCTAGAAATTCCTTTATTGATAAAACTCGGGGTGTTACAATCCACCCTCCTTAAAATATTTCCGTCCTCGGAAATACTAAATTGAAATGTATAGGCTTAATATAAAGCTTATACCTCTCGCTGACATGACTTGAGAATTCAGTATTGAATACTAAACATTAGACTTGATCTTGACTGAGAAATCAACAATTCACAGTTAAGTGAGTTGATGATTTAACATTGACTGAAATGAAACACTTTTCTGAAATAAAGTGTTCACTGAATAAATATAATTCTGGAACGTACTGATCTTCATCTCCTAGCTGACTACGGGTCTTCAATTTGAATGTTGATTGTGGTACTCCCCTTCATAGGTACCCCTGGAAAATTTCAGAGATGCGCACGTGTACAAATGAGGGTAACTAGCAATCGTGGCAACTACCTTTCATAATTGTCTACTCGACACGTGGCACATCCTTCGCGGCACATCGTAATGTGGTATACCTGCTCCTCATCAAGTGAGTGCGGCACACCTACACACAGCACCTGGCGAAAATTGCACCTGCGACGTCGATGTAG